GGAAATACCCCGATACACATGTCGGGCTTAGACAGTAGGGTTTAGGTTTTAGGGTTACAAATTTCTCAGGTTCACGGTCAGTTATAAGTTGATTACCTGAGCTGGAGTCTAAGCTCCTAGTATCCCCTCGAATAATCATTATACTACTCCCTTATGAAATCCCCTGTATAACTTCGTTTAAGGAGTTTAGACAATAGCTCACATGCAGTCCCTCACATGGACGCATGTCGTAGCGATCAAAATCATCCACCCTGAACCCTAAACCCCCCACAAACTTGGACAAATTCCACTGCTTGGCTATTGGCCCTACCCTACATGGAGTCCACATGTACCATACTCTAAGCACTATGTATCCCCCTAAAAAACCCTGTAATACTTCCCCATACAATCCCCTAAATAACCCCCTTTAAGGAGTTTAGACTACAGCTCATCGAGTCTATATATCATCGTAGAGTGGGAGCAGTATCCAAAGTGCTGCAATGCATGCTGGCCAAGCCACCCAGTGGGGGTCATGGCACTGCTGGGAGTGTGTACCGCAGGGGCAAACCTGGCAAGCCGTGGATCTTGTTTGGGTTTAGGGTTTGGTGTTCCTTTGCTAGGGCCATGCGCGCAGATCAGCGCGTTTTGGCGTCCTCCCAAGAACATTTGGCGCCTTCGCAAGAATAGCAGGATCTCTCGTTGCCGTGCCACTTCATATGTACTTTGAGGTTGGGCAGTGTGATCAGGGGAAGGCAAAATACTGGGAAAGTAGTTCGGGAATTGCATGCCCCTGCGTCTGCCCTGGTTGAGAACCCTGTCTTTATGAGCCGCACTAAAGCCAACCGAATGAAATATCTCTTGTCTACTTGCATAGAATACTTCGTACATCATCTTGAACTGGACATCGCTCAGGGAATGTGAAGTGAGTTTAGGGCTTGGGGTTTAGGGCTTGAAGTTTGGGTTTGCGGTTTGAGTTTTGGGTTTGCAACCGTCTTTATTACGGGTCATATTCACGGCTATATATACCTATATCTTCAATATTCTCCAGCTGTAGGTAGTGTTGCGTTTGATACGTCATAATTGGGCAGAGGACAAATCTAAGTCCAGAGTAATTCTTGTACTAACTTGATGATGATATGGATTCTCCTACCATGACCTGGCAAGGTGTAGGGCCTGTAGCGCGTGACAGGGGCCCAGGCAGAGCTGATTTCGATCAGGGAATGATGCTCCTCGGAATATATTCCCCCTTAAGTAGGTAGAATGTGTGCATATGGGTGGGGATTCTAGTGTAATATGCCCAGAGCCATATTCCATCTATTTAAGGGGGGCTATATCCCCTGCTCAGAATTTCGGATCGGTCAGTTCCTGCCCATTGCCCGTCATTTCTCCCACTTCACGCTTGGAATTCCATGCCAGATACGATGGGCAAGGCAGCTAAGGATAGGTTTCTGTACTCATACCTTCCATCGAAAAGAGGAGCTGCAGCCAGTTCAAGTCTCTAGCCAGCTGTGAGCTTGATAGCTTCCAAAAACTAAGGCCAAAGCATGTAGCCTGAATCTATGATACCAAGTCAACAAGAAAAGTCTTGGCTTCCAGCATCCCAACCCTTTGAAACCTAGGGTTTAGGTTGGGTATTGCCACCCTCAGTAACTTTTGGATAATAATTATAGTATGGTTATATATAGCCCTTAATAGGACCCCTAGTATAGACTGTTACTGGGTGGGGGCAGTACCCAAGGTTTCGGGCTTAGGCCGCCTGGTCAGCTTTCACGCAGGTCTCCCGGTAGACCCCGGGATGGCCATTGGCCTCATAGTCCTTCGCATTTCCGGAAGATTGGGATAATGGAAAAGAAAATGGAAACTACTATATTATAATAGGGTACATCTTGGGGATATATTGGGGTTATATTGNNATGGAAAAATGGAAACTACTCTAGTGGGGATATATAGGGGTCAGATAGGGCTTAAGGTTTAAGATGATATGTTTGGTTCAGGCTTCGGCTGAGGTCTCACCAAGAACCAGAGCGGTTTGTGGCATGTTAAGCTACGGGCTTCACGTTTTTACGATCTATGCACGATGTAGCTGCCCGCCACACCCATTATTCCTGTGCTGTTACATAATGTTGGACCCTCTTTAA